ATCTGAGGATCATGGTTCAAAGTCAGCCCAGACAGAAAAGTCTATGGGACTCTAATAAACTACTCAGAAAAAGCTAGAGGTGACCCTGTAGCACATGCGGTAAGCACTAGCCTTGAGCAAAAAGAAGCTTAGGGATAGCACCCAGGTCCTGAGTTCAAACCCCAGGACTGGCACACACACATTTTTAAAAAAGTAACTGCAGGGCTGGGAAGGTGGCTCAGTGGTAGAGCACTTGCCTTGCATTCATGAGTCCCTGGGTTCAATTCCTCAGCACCACATAAGCAGAAAAAAGCTAGAAGTGGTGCTATGGCTCAAGTGGTAGAGCACTAGCCTTGAGCTAAAGAGCTGAGGGACAGTGGCCAGGCCCAGAGTTCAGGCCCCCCAACTGACAAAAAGTAATTGCAAAACCCCAGAACCCTGTTATCTGGAACTTGAGCTCTAGAACCAGCTTGCTGTATGGCGTTCCTCAAGTCACCAAGTCCCTTCTGGATTTTTCCTCCAAAGCTGGGTATCAGTGGTTCTCTGACTAGGAGGCTAAGATCTGAGACTCACAGCTGGAAATCAGCCTGGGCAGAAAAGTCTATATGAGATTCTTTTTTTGTTGTTGGTTGTGGGCCCTGAACTCAGGGACTGGGCACTCTCCCTGAGCCTCTTTGTGTTCAAGGCTAGTGCTCTACCACTTGAACCACAAAACCACTTCAGGCTTTTGAGTAGTTTATTGGAGATAAGAGTCTCACAGAGACTTTTCTGTCCAGGCTGGCTTGGAACCACAATCCTCAGATCTCAACCTCCTGAGAAGCTAGGATTACAGGCGTGAGCCACCTGCACCCGCCTTCCATGAGAATTATCTCCAATTAACAACCAAAAGGCCTGAAATGGAGCTGAGGCTCAAGTGGTAGAATGCTTTGAGCATAAAAACTCAGAGACAAGCTGAGCACCGGTGGCTTACCCTGTAATCCTAGCTACTCAGGAGGCTGAGATCTGAGGATCATGGTTCAAAGCTAGCCCGGGCAGGAAAGTCCGTGAGACTCTGATCTCCAATAAACCACTAGAAAACCGGGAGTGGCCCTGTGGCTCAAAAAGTAGAGTGCTCACCTTGAGCTGAAGAGCACAGGGACAGTGCCCAGGCCCAGAGTTCAAGCCCCACGACCAACAACAAAAAAAAAAACAAACTCAGGGACAGCACCTAGGCCCTGAGTTCAAGCACCAGGACCAGCATACACAAAAACAAAAGGTTCTTTTTCCATAGAGACCATTGCCCCACCCCTTCTCAGTTTTATTGTGGAAAACAAACAGGAGGGCTAATGAACTGGAACGCAGGTGTGCTGTGTCCCATTCAAACTGGAGACTCCAGGTACCCAGGAACGGCTAAATGACCTCTTGGCGCCACCTGGTGGTCACAACTGCGTGTGGTGCTTAAGAGGCATGGGAGGAGCATTTGGTCATGACTGTGGTTGACCCTAATAGGCATGGGAAAAATATACCAGGACCTTCATTCGTGGCTAGCTGGCCTTCCCATGAGGATACGGTGAAGAGGTACACTCCACTTGCCCCAACACTTCAGCCTCTCAAGATCATCTCCCTGCATTTTGTCCCTTTGGGCAACTCTGTGAAGTCTAAGAGGAGGCCACAGGTTGTGGTGCTGGTACTGTCACTAATTACCTCTCCAGACTCAGGGACCTTCCTCTTTCACCTATTAAACATTTTATAAATGTCCACTTTTTTTTTTTTTCCCAGTACTAGGTTTGTACTCAGGGCTTTGAGTTTGCTAAGCTGGTGTTCTACACTTGAACCACACCTCTAGCTCTGCTTGTATTTTGCTGGTTATGTGGAGATGGAGACTGAGCTGGCCTCTAACCACGATCCTCTAGGTCTCAGCCTCCTGAGTAGCTAGGACTAGAGGCGTGAGCCATCGCCGATGCCCAGAATCTGCTAGTCCTTCTTGAATTATGTTGGCCCATTGTCTTTGGCCAGTGGCTGCAGTTCCTGTGCATTGAACTGAGGCCAGCCAGTCAATCCCTGCTCTTAGGTCTAGGCGGAGTAAGGGGAAGTGGCAGAGAGCAGAACTCCCACTCCTGAGCTGTTCTCAGTGTCTAGTGGTGGCCACAGAGATCCTTCTGGGCTGGCCACTCCCAGCTCCCAGCTCTACTTCTGCTAAGGGGTACTAGCCTCTTTAGTTCCTATTTATTCCTAGCTACTCAGGAGGCTTACATCCCAGGATTGTGGTTCAAAGCTAGCCCTGGCAGGAAAGTCTCTGTGACTCTTATCTCTAGTTAACCAGCAAAGCACCGAAATGATTCAAATGGTAAAACACCAGCCTTGAGCACAAAAGCTCAGGGACAGTGCCCAGGCCCCTAAGTATAAGCCCTAGGACTGGTGCAAACACACACACACAAAAATGCCAGGCGCCAGTGGCTCACGCCTGTAATCCTATCTACACAGGAGGCTGAGATCTGAGGATCACGGTTCAAATGTTCAAAGCCAGCCTGGGCAGGAAAGTCTGTGAGATGCTTATCTCCAATAAACCACTAGAAAACCGGAAGTGGTGCTGTGGCTCAAGCAGTAGAGCGCTTGCCTTGAGCTGAATCACTGAGGGACAGCTCCCAAGCCCAGAGTTCAAGACCCACAACCACACACACACACACATACACACACACAAAAAAAACACCATAAGTTGCTGTCATTTCAGCCCTTATGGTATAAACAAAGACCTCATAGCTCTTACACAATTCACAAATTTGTCTTAAATAAACACAACATGAGACATACATTTCAGTGTCCTGAAATATACTTTCTTCCCCATAAAAAGGCAGCTTAAAAATATGGATAGCCGGGGGTCTGGGAAGGTGGCTCAGTGGTAGAGCGCTTGCCTTGCATGCATGAGGCCCTGGGTTCGATTCCTTAGCACCACATAAGCAAAGAGAAAAAAGCTGGAAGTGGCATTGTGGCTCAAGCACTAGACGCTAGCCTTGAGCTGAAGAGCTGAGGGACAGCGCCCAGGCCCAGAGTTCAGGCCCTACGACCAGACCCTCCCACCCCCCCCCAAAAAAAAAATATGGATAGCCAGGCACTGGTGACTCACACCTGTCATTCTAGCTACTCAGGAGGCTGAGATCTGAGGATGGTGATTCAAAGCCAGGCCAAGCAGGAAGGTCCATGAGACTCTTATCTCCAATTAACCACCAGAAAACCAGAAGTGGTGTTGTGGCTCAAGTGGTAGAGTGCTTGCTTAGCATGCATGAAGCCCTGGGTTCAATTCCTCAGTACCACATAAGCAGAAAAATCCAGAAGTGGAGTTGTGGCTTAGGTGGTAGAGCGCTAGCCTTGAGCCAAGGAAGCTCCAGGACAGTGAGTGCTCAGGCCCTAAGTTCAAGCCCTAGGACTGGCCAAAAACAAAACAAAACAAAAAGATGGATGTATATTTTGTAGCCTATATCCTTAGGTCTATACTATGCTGGGCCCAGCGTTACTGTAAGGATGACTCTAGTTCTGTTCTCTGTTTGGGCCTGTACCTGGCCCAAGTCCCCTGCATTTCCCTGCTAGGTTTGCCCACCATAGATTTGTCTACCAGAAGCCTTGTCTCCTGCATAATGAGTGGAGGCAATGGAACCTTTCACAGGTGGGGGTCTAAGGAAGGATTTTAAGTCATGGGAGTTGCCTCATTATCAGTTTAATGTCTCACAGGACTGATCAGGTCTGTTAAGAGTGGATTACTAGGACTGGGAAGGTGACTCAGTGGTTGAGTGCTTGTCTTGCATGCATGAGGCCCTGGGTTCGATTCCTCGGCACCACATAAGTAGAAAAACCCGGATGTAGATGTAGCACTGTGGCTCAAAGTTGTAGAGTGCTAGCCTTGGGCTGAAGAGAGTTCAGGCCCCACAACTGACAAAAAAAAAGTGGATTACTAGGGGCTGGGAATATGGCTTAGCGGCTGAGGGCTTGTCTAGCTGTAGAAGGCCTTGGGTTAGATTCCTCAAAACCACAAAAAGAGGGCTGGGAAGGTGGCTCAGTGGTAGAGCGCTTACCTTGCATGCATGAGGCCCTGGGTTCGATTCCTCAGCACCATATGAGCAAAAAGAAAAAAGCCGGAAGTGGTGCTGTGGCTCAAGTGGTAGAGTGCTAGCCTTGAGCTGAAGAGCTGAGGGACAGCGCCCAGACCCAGAGTTCAGGCCCCACGACCGGGCCCCCCCCCCCAAAAAAAAAAAAAACACAAAAAGAAAAATAAATAAATAAATAAAATTTAAGAGTGAATTAGTAGCTTGGCAATCTGTAATCCTAGCTACTTCAGAGGCTGAGAGCTGAAGATCTAGGTTCAAAGTCAGCCTGGGGTCAAGAAAGGTTGAGACTCTTTTTTTTGGGTCCAGTCATGGGGCCTGAATACTGGGCCTGGGTGCTGTCCCTCAGCTCTTCAGCTCAAGACAAGCACTCTACCACTGAGCCACCTCCCCAGCCCAAGGTTAAGACTCTGATCTCCAATTAACCAATTAACCTCCAGGAAACCACCAGGAAACTGGAAGTAGAGTTGACCCAGAGTTGTAGAGTACAAGCCTGAAGCAAAAGAGCTCAGGGACAGTTCCCAGGCCCTGAGTTCAAGCCCCATAGCAGACATAAAAATAAGAGTAGATTACTTCTCTTCAGATCAGTTGTTATAAAAAGTGAGGTTTGGCCAAGCACTGGTGGCTCACGCCTGTAATCCTAGCTACTCAGGAAGCTGAGATCTGAGGATCTTGGTTCAAAGCAAGTCTGGGCAGGAAAGCCCACGAGACTCTTATCTCCAATTAACCACCAGAAAACCAGAAGTGGTGCTGTGGCTCAAATAGTAGAGTGCTTCCTTTGAGCTGAAGAGTTCCAGGACAACACCTAGAGTTCAAGCCCCATGACTGACAAAAAAAAAAGTGAGGCTTGCTTCTCTTCTTTGCATGCATGCCCACCAGAGCTGAACAGAGGCCAATGCCATATTCTTGAACCTATAGAACATTGAGCTTAATTCATCTCTTTTCTTTATAACGTATCCAGCCATAGGGTATTCTGTCACAGTAATGTTAAACAGACTAAACACAGTCTGTTAAGAGAGGCCAGATACTGCTCCCAGAGAACCTGTCTTCCCTGCCTCCTCCTCCTCCTGCTGCCCAGAGGGACTGGTGTTCAGGACCCTTGGCTCTGCCCTCTGTCATCATTCCCAATTGGCATAGAGAAGATTACAGAGGATTACACTGGAAACAGCTCACCCAAGATACAGGGGAGAAACTGAGGCACAGCTAACAAGTAGTTGAGAAGCAATGTCCCTTAACCCTGTCAGAAGGCAGGATCTCCCTGAGAACCCTTAAGGCATCCAGAGTGTTTGGAATCCATCTTTGTCTTCTATGTGAAGGTCACAGGTTTGGGTCCAAGTTCTCTTGGTCTGAGGCTGCTTCATCCTCTGGAGACTCCTGTATCAGAGGCAGAAAAGCAAGTAAAGACTCTACTGTCCAAAGGCCACAATCTGGAGGCCCTCCTATATACCAATACTCAGAATTGTTTGTGTGGGGGGGTGTGCGCCAGTATCGAGGCTTGAACTCAGGACCTGGGAGCTGTCCCTGAGAGCCACAGCTTCACTTCATGCTAGAGATAAGAGTTTCATGTGGAGCTGAACACTGGTGGCTCACACCTAGAATCCTAGCTACTCAGAGGCTGAGATCTGAGGATTGCAGTTCAAACCCAGCCTGGGCAGAAAAGTCTGAGAGATTCTTATCTCCAATAACCTACTCAGAAAAAGCCAGAAGTGGCCCTGTGGCTCAAGTGATAGAGTCTTAGCCCTGAGCACAAAGAGGCTCAGGATCAGTGCCCAGGCCCTGCGTTCAAGCCCCAGGTTCGGCCAAATAAATAAATAAAAGTTTCATGGGCTTTTCTGCCTAGGCCAGCTTTGAATCATGATCCTTAGATCTCAGCCTCCTGAGTAGCTAGGATTACAAGGGTGAGCCACCAAGGCTGGCTTTGCTATGCAGTATTCTTCTGTCCTGTCACAACTCCCAGCCTCTCCCATTCACAGGGCCCACCATTGGGTGACCTCTTACCAGACTGAGACCCCTGCGCTGCTGTAGGGTAGTATAAAAATGTAGCACGCGGGGATCACAGCGAACCACCATGGGGTCAAAGTCCAGCACACGTAACCCTTGTAGGCTGCGTGCCCGGGAAAGGGCCACGTAGGCTTGACCACTGGCAAACACACGGCCCAGAGAGATCTCCACACAGTCCAGAGACATGCCCTGAAAAATGGAAGGACAGAGATGGATCCAGATTAGCCTGAAGTCTCTTGTGCCCACCTTCACCAGCCAGCTACAGCTCCTGAGGACCCTCCCCTAGTCTAGCACGTCTCCAGGAGGGCTGGGAATGTGGCTTACTGGTAGAGTGCTTGCTTAGCATGCAGGAAGCCCTGGGTTCAAATCCAGAAGTGGTGCTGTGGCTCAAGTGGTAGAGCACTAGCCTTGAGCAAAAGAAGCTCAGGGATAGTGCCCAGGCCCTGAGTTCAAGCCGCAGGACTGTCAAAAATAAGAACAGCTCAACTGAACCTGAGGGGACCAGGGGATACAGGTCTAGGATGAAAGGTAAAGGGCTGGAGCAGGAAAGAAGGGTTTAGGCTCTGGGCCTGACAGATGGATGTGCAGCTGCATTCAGGCTTTGCCTCTCACTACCCCAAATTCCCTGGGATAAATTCCTTCACTCTTTCTATAAAGTGGGCGTGGTTTAATTAATACAGTTACAAAAACTTGAGATGGGGAGAGAAGGAGGTGGTTATTATTATTATTATTATTGCCAGTTGTGGGGCCTGAACTCTGGGCCTGGGCACTGTCCCTCAGCTCTTCAGCTCAAGGCTAGTGGTCTACCACTTGAGCCATAGTGCCACTTCTGGCTTTTTCTGCTTCTGTGGTGCTGAGGAACCGAACCCAGGGCCTCATGCATGCAAGGCAAGCACTCTATCACTGAGCCACCTTCCCAGCCCAGGAGGTGGTTTTTGCTGGAGTGGGCACTTATTTTGCTTATTTGCCAGTCATAGGGCTTGAACTCAAGACCTTGACACTGTCTCTGAGCTTCTTTTGCTCAAGGCTAGCACTCTACCACATGAGCTGAGGAATTGAACCCAGGGCCTTATGCATGCAAGGCAAGCGCTCTACCACTGAGCCACCTTCCCAGCCCAGCTTTTTTTTTTTTTTCCTCAAGTCTGTTAGTCTACTATTTGAGCCATAGCTCTACTTCTGCTTTTTTGCTGGTCAATTGGAGAAAAGAATCTCTGGGCCGGGCGCTGGTGGCTCACGCCTGTAATCCTAGCTACTCAGGAGGCTGAGATCTGAGGATTGCAGTTCAAAGCCAGCCCGGGCAGGAGAGACCGTGAGACTCCTATCTCCAATAAACCATCAGAAAACCAGAAGTGGCGCTGTAGCTCAAGTGGTAGAGCCCTCACCTCTAGCTGAAGAGCTGAGGGACAGCGCCCAGGCCCAGAGTTCAAGCCCCAAGACCGACCAAAAAAAAAAAAAAAAAGAATCTCTGGGATTTGTCTGCCTAAGCTAGCTCTGAAACTTGATCCTCAGATCTCAGCCTTCTGATAGCTAGAATTATAAGCACAAACCATTGAGAACCAGCTAATCTAATCTGGAACTTTCTTTCTTCCTTTCTTTTCTGTGGGTTGTGGGGTCTGAACTCTGGACCTGGGTGCTGTCCTTCAGCTCTTCAGCTCCAGGCTAGCGCTCTACCACTTGAGTCACAGCGCCACTTCCAGCTTTTTTCTGCTTCTGTGGCGCTGAGAAATCAAACCCAGGGCCTCATACATGTCAGGCAAGCACTCTACCATGAATCCAACCTCCCAGCCCTAACCTGGAACGTTCTATCCAGGACAAATTCATTCCCTACCCATAAGGCCTTCAAACCTTTCTCTCCAACCTGTCTCCCTCAGTGTATTTTGCACACACTCTACACTGGGTAATCACCTGGCTTTTGTGGATGGATAGTGCCCAGGCCAGCTGGAGGGGCAGCTGCTGCCGGCTGAGGAAGTGGCCCCCGGTAGTCTGCACTGTCCAGCGCTCTGCGTGGATGACCTCAGTGACTCCATACAGGAACCGTACCTGGGGCAGCCCTGAGGAAAGCATGATCAAGTCAGACCTGCCTGAGAGGGTAGGAATTAGGGGCCCCTAGCCTTTTCCTCCCCACGTTTACCCTGTAGGGTTGCTCTGCTGGAAATCTGAGCAGCACCCTTCACTCACCTCTTCCCTCTGCCTCGAACCCCACTACCACCCCTCGGGCGCCATTCACCAGACCTCGAGACACTGCCAAGTTCTTCACCAACATCACCTGCAGGGGAGGAAGTAGAGAGGGGGCCACCCTGGATTGGGCTCATCCCCATTACTTCTGTGACTCACTGTGACAAATGCGTGTGACAAACCCTCTTGAGACTCTCTTCCCTTTCTGTCAGAGGTGGATTGCATTTGCTCAATCAATACCTCAAGGTGGAAAAGGTATGTCACAGGGCTTCAAAAAGGGTCAGATTGTGGGGCTGGGAAGGTGGCTCAGTGGCAGAGCGCTTGCCTTGCATGCCTGAGACCCTGGGTTCGATTCCTCAGCACCACATAAAGCAAAAAGAAAAAGACCGGAAGTGGCGCTGTGGCTCAAGTGGTAGAGCACTCACCTTGAGCTGAAGAGCTGAGGGACAGCGCCCAGGCCCAGAGTTCAGGCCCCACAGCCGGACCCAAAAACAAACAAACAAAAGGGTCAGATCGGCTGGGCACTGATGGCTCATTCCTATAATTGTAGCTCTTCAGGAGGCTGAGATCTGAGGATCACAGTTCCAATCCAGCTCAGGCATGACATTCCATGAGAATCTGGTTTTTTTTTTTTGGGTCTGGTCGTGGGGCCTGAACTCTGGGCCTGGACACTGTCTCTCAGCTCTTCAGCTCAAGGCTAGCGCTCTACCACTTGAGCTACAGCACCACTTCACTTTTTTCTTTTTGCTTATGTGGTGCTGAGGAATCGAACCCAGGGCCTCAGGCATGCAAGGCAAGCACTCTACCACTGAGCCACCTTCCCAGACCCCTTCCATGAGAATCTTATCTCCAATTTCAACAAGAAAACTAGAAGTGGCACTATGGCTCAAAGTAGTAGAGTGCTAGACTTGAGCATAAAAGCTCAGGGACAGCATGCAAGCCCTGAGTTCAAGCCCCAGGACTGACAAAAGAAAAGGGTCAGGCCTATTATGGGGGCTACAGGTCTTAAGAGATGGTTTCTAGGTGCCAGGCGCTGGTGGCTCACACCTGTAATTGTAGCTACTCCAGAGGCTGAGATCTGAGGATTGTAGATCAAAGCCAAGCCAGGTGGGAAAGTCTGTGAGAAAAAGTTGTTTTTGTTTATGTAGTACCAAGGAATCGAACCCAGGGCCTCATGAATGCTAGGGAAGCACTCTACCACATTCCTAGCCCTCCCTTAGCTTTTTCCTCAAGGCTAGCGCTCTACCACTTGAGCTACAGCTCCACTTCTGGCTTTTTGCCAGTTAATTGGAAATAAAGAGTTTCATGCACTTTCCTGCCCAGGTTGGATTTGAACTGCAGTCCTCAGATCTCAGCCTCCTGAATAGCTACAATTACAGGCATGATCCACTGGCAAGCAGCTAGGGAGGGAGGTTTTTTGTTGTTGTTGGTCGTGGGGCCTGAACTCTAGGCCTGGGCACTGCTCCTCAGCTCTTCAGCTCAAGGCTAGCACTCTACCACTAGAGCCACAGTGCCACTTCCTACTTTTTTTTTTTTTTTTGCTTGTCTGGTGCTGAGGAATTGAACCCAGGGCCTCATGCATGCAAGGCAAGCCCTCTACCACTGAGCTACCTTCCCAGCCCAGGAGGGAGGTTTTGATGTGGTCACAGGTCTCCCCAGTCGCTACAGAGAGGCCTGGGCAGAGGGGTAATACCAAGAAGTACTTAAGAAGAACAGCCCAGGCTTCTAGGATCTAGATCTTGCTTCCCACCTACCTGGGCCCCTTGCTTTAGCTGAAGGAGCCGGCTAACAGGACACTGGGCATCCAAGGTCCGGGCTAGCTCAGGATCACTGTCCACAGCCTCAAAGCTATGTACTTCACCTGGAAAAAGAGAGTTGGGAAAACATTATCAATCACTGGCTTGTGGTTCAGCTGCCAAAAGTACATATTGGGCCAGGGCATGGTCTGAAGGCCGCTCAAGCCTAGCAGAGGCTTTGCAGTCAGTTCACCATATCTCTTGGGGACAGTTATAGTTACAAATGTCAGGGTCTTTCTGGCCACAGAGGTCTGGAGGCTGGTTATGCAAATGAGCTCATGAGTCCACCAGCACCTGGGAGGAGGGGCCCGTACCTGGCCCCTCCCAGCTAGAGGGGCCAGCTTGGAACTTACCTGGCAGCTCCTGCAGCCGCCTCTCATTAGTTAGCGCTACATCATCTTGGTGAGTACAGAGTCTCGTGGCCACAATTCCGTCTCGCCCCACGTTGTGGGCAGCTGTGGCTCTGAGCTGGCGGGTGACCTCATCGGAGCACCTGTGGAAGCTGGATTGTCAGAGCTTTCTGTATACCAGAGAAGGTGGGGGACTGGGGGAAGGGGGAGCAGTATGGCCTGAGCAGCAGGCTATGAAACCAAAATAGAGTACCACAGAAAGATGGTACCCTTAAGGCCTGCCAACTTGGCCCTTCTTTACTTGGACCCCAGATATGATAAAGGAACATGAGTTAGGGGTGCTAGGTTGTGATCCCAGGGGTGCCCCCTTTCCTGGATCTGCCCCTGGGAGAAGCTAGCTACCCTTCCACCACTGTCCTTGAGGACTGCTAGAGAGGATGAGTGTAGGCCAAAGGACCAGCAAAAAAAAAAGGGTTTCAGGGGCTGGGAAGGTGGCTCAGTGGTAGAGCGCTTGCCTTGCATGCCTGAGGCCCTGGGTTCGATTCCTCAGCACCACAAAAGCAAAAAGAAAAAAGCCAGAAGTGGCGCTGTGGCTCAAGTGGTAGAGCACTAGCCTTGAGCTGAAGAGCTGAGGGACAGCACCCAGGCCCAGAGTTCAGGCCCCATGACTGGACCCAAAAAAAAAAAAAAAAAAGGGTTTCATGGGATTTTCTGCCTAGGCTGGCTTTGAACCATGATCCTCCAATCTCAGCCTCCTGAGAAGCTAGAATTACAGGTAGGTATGAGCCACTGGCACCTTGCTTTTCTTCTTCTTGGCATGGGGCTTAAACTCAGGGCCTGGGTGCTGTTCCTGAGGTTCTTTTGCTCAAAGCTTATGCTCTACCACCTTGAGCCATAGTTCCACTTCTGGTTTTTAGGTGGTTAATTGGAGATGTCTCACAAATTTCTTACCTGGGCTGACAGAACTGGGTCCTCATATCTAGCCTCCTGAGTAGCTAGGATTTCAAGCATGAGCCATTGGCACCCAGCTTCTAGCCTCTAGTTCTATGTTTTTTGTTTTTGCCCTACCTTGGACTTGCACTCAGGACCTGGGCACTGTCCCTGAGCTTCTTTTGCGCAAGGTTAGTACTCTACCACATGAGCCACAGCATCACTTCCTTCTTTTTCTGCTGATGTGGTATTGAGGAATCAAACCCAGGACTTCGTGCATGGTAGGCAAGCACTCTACCACTAAGCCACATTCCCAGCCCTATTTCTATGCTTTCTGTGTGTGTTGTTGTTTGGAGAGCATGTCCCATTATTTATTTAACCTAAACTGGCTTCCAATTCTTCTTCTCCCCTCCTACCCCCCAAGGGTCTGGTACTTGAGCTCAGGACCTGGGTGCTATCCCTGAGCCTCTTTGTGCTCAAGGCTAGCACTTTACCACTTGAGCCACAGTGCTACTTCCAGCTTTTAATGAATAGTTTATTGGAAATCAGAGTTTCACAGATCTTCCTGCCTAGCTTCAAACTGCAATCCTGAGACCTCAGCCTGTTGAGTAATTAGGATTATAGGCCTGAGCCACCAGCACCTGGCTTGGCCTGAAAATTAAAAAAAAAAAAAAATTTATTGTAAAAATACTATACACAGGGGTTACAGTTACATGAGTAAGGTAATGAGTACATTTCCTATTGCGCATTGTTGCCTCCTCCTTTGTTTTTTTGGCCTGAAATTCTTAATCCTCCTGCCACAGCCTTGTAAGTGTTGGGATTACATATGTGTTTCCCTGATTGGCACCATAACACTTTTATCTTGTGCCAGTCTTAGAGCTTGAACTCAGGGCCTGGGCCTTGTTTTGTTTTTGTTTTGGTTTTTTGTTTTACCAGTCCTGGGGCTTGAACTCAGGGCCTGGGCACTATGCCTGAGCTTCTTTTGCTCAAAGCTAGTGCTCTATCACTTGAGCCACAGTGCCACTTCCGGCTTTTTATGTTTATGTGGTGATACTGAGGAATCGAACCTAGGACTTCATGCAAGCACTGAGCCACATTCCCAGCCCCAGGGCCTGTTCTTGTCCCTGAGCTTTTTTGCTCAAGTCTAGCACTCTACCACTTTAGTCACAACTCCATTTCAGGCTTTTGGTGGTTAATTGGAGATATGAGTCTCACTGACTTTCCTGCCCAGGCTGGCTTCAAACTGCAATCCTCAGATCTCAGCCTTCTGAGTAGCTAGGATTACAGGTGTAAGCAACTGGTACACAGCACCATAACACTTTTTTTTTTTTAGTTGTTGTTATGGGGCTTGAACTCTGGGCCTGGGTGCTGCCCCTCAATTCTTTCAAGGCTAGTGCTCTACCACTTGAGCCACAGTGCCACTTCCGGCTTTTTCTGTTTATGTGGTGCTGAGGAATCAAACCCAGGGCCTCATGCATGCAAGGTAAGCACTTTATCATTGAGCCACCTTCCCAGCCCACCATAACACTCTTGATTACAGTACTGTGTCTTCAGTTGGCCATGCTCTACCTATACACCCTGCTTCTGACCACAAGCATCTCTCCTTTTGCTCTACTCCAACACATGCTTGCATCTTCCTCCCATGGCCTATTCTCTATTCTCCATAGCCCACCTGCCCAGCCTTATGGCCTGCAGCAAAGAGATGAAAGTCTGGTCTGCCTGCCTCCACACCTCAGTCAACTCCAGGGTCACTGGCACACATCTCTTCCAGCTCTTGGCCTGGTGAGATCAGGGGTAGGGGAAGATCAGGGAGCACAATAGAACTCTCCCCCCATACACACACACACAGAGGACAGGCCCAGGAGTTGAGTGCACACCTGGAAACAGAACTGAGGGCTCTGAGAGCCTTTGGTCACTGGCGGCAGCTGCAGGAAATCCCCACAGATGATGAGTTGGATCCCACCAAAGGGCTTGTTCTGCTGCCGAACGGCTCTGGAAGGGAGCAGGGAGATGGGGGTGGGGGGTAGGGGTGGTGCTTTAGAAGCCAGGTGGGCAGATCCCTCTAGATTCTTCTTCTATAACTGCCCTTGCTGCAGGAACTGACCTGGCCACGGCCTCCAGCTTGTCAAACAAGTCAGCCTCCACCATGGAGATCTCATCAATGACCAAGCGCTGGCAGGTCAGCCAGCCTTGCCGCACACGGGGCCGCTGGGCCAGGGCTACACACTGAGCCAGAGGAGCCTGGCCTGAGCCAATACCTGTGAATCACACTATTCAGCCTGGACTGAAAGATCCCCGAGGCTTCTGATGACCCTGATCTCTTCCTCCCTCAATCCCCTTTGCCCTGAGTTCAAGCCCAGGGGTTTCCCCTATTTACCTGCAAAGGCGTGGAGGGTGGTGCCCCCAATGTGGCAGGCTGCCACCCCAGTGCTGGCAGTGGCCACAGTACCTGTTGGGGGCAGTGAGCCCAGGATACGCTTCAGCAGATAGGACTTCCCGGTGCCTGTGCAGAGGACAAAGTCAGAGCCACCCGCTTGCTCTTCCATCCTCCCCTGCCACTGCCCTCCCTCCTCCCTTCCCCCCACCCCTACCCCCTATTACCTGCGCTCCCAGTAAAGAAAACACTCTGGCCTTTCAAAACAGCCCTCAGCACAGCAGCCTGTTCCTCAGACAGCTGTGGCTTGGAGCGGGGCAGGCTCAGCCTCTTCACAGGCAGAGGCCACTTTGGGGTTTCCTGGGAGGGAAATGAGGGTGTCTTAGAGCCTCCTGCCATCCTTTGGGTGTGTGTGCAATGCACACCTGGTGTTCTTTCTTTGTCCCTTTTAAACACTTATTTGTTTGTTTACTATTTAGGGCGAGTATTGGGGCTTGAACTCAGGGCCGCACACTCTCAACTCAGCTTTTTCTACTCAAGTCTGGTGCTCTACAATTAAGCCACAGCTTCACTTCTGGCCGTTTGGTAGTTAATTGGCATGGACTTACCTGGCCCAAGCTGGCTTCGAATGGTGATCCCCAGATCTCAGCCTTCTGAGTAGCTAGTATTAAAAGTATGAGCCACCAGCACCTGGCCCTCTACCATCTGTTAGCTTCACTCCTTAGAACTCTTGGGCAGCTCTGGTTCATCTGGAGATCTTGTTAGAAATTACTGAAGTCCAGGTCTTGCTTGTGCCCTGAAGACCCCTAGTGTGGATCTTCCTTCAGCTTCTTCTCCTGAGATCCTTAACCATTCTGATCCAGTCATCCAACTTACCTTCCTACATTATCTTCCTAGCACAAACTTGTCTCTCACCCAAGCAAAACCCTGCCTGAGTTGGGCTTCAATAGCTCATGCCTATAATCCTAGCTACTCAGGAGGCTGAGATCTGAAGACTGCAGTTCAAAGGTAGGCTAGATAGGAAAGTCTGTAACACTCTTATCTCTAATTAGCTAGCAAAAAGCCAGAACTGGAGGTGTGGCTCAAGTGGTGGAGCACCAGCCTTGACTAAAGATGTCAAGGGACAGCACCCAGGACCTGAGTTTAAGACCCAGTACTAGTACACACACAAGAAAGGAAGAAAGGAAGGAAGGGAGAGTGGGAAGGAAGGGAGAGAGAAAGAGGAAGGAAGGAAGGAAAGCAGGAAGGAAGGAAGGAAGAGGAAAAAAAGAAAAAGAAAACCCCACTGGGTGCCGGTAGCTCACACCTGTAATCCTAGCTACTCAGGAGGCTGAGATCTGAGGATCACAGTTCAAAGCCAGCCCAGGCAGGAAAGTCCGTGAAACTCATCTCCAGAAAACCGGAAGTGGCGCTGTAGCTCAAGTGGTAGAGCGCTAACCTTGAGCTGAAGAGCTGAGGGACAGCGCTCAGGCCCAGAGTTCAAGCCCCACGATGGACAAAAAGAAAAAGAAAACCCCTGGCTTTTCTTGCCCCATCTCTAGCTATCTCTAGCTTCTCACCAGCTTAGTAGCAAGCCATAGTTGATGACTCACCTGTCCAGTCCACAAACACTGCCAGCCCCATCTGATATTTTTCCAAGGGCACTATTGGCTGCCAGTGACACTGCTGATTCCCTCCAAAGCCTTCTCCCTCTGAGCCTTCTTACCTTCCTACTTTTTGTTCTGAAAAGTCCCTTTTCCTGGCCTCTGTTTTTGTCTTTTAATTTGGCCTGAACCCTCCCAATTTCAGCGTTTACACTAGAGACCCACAAATGGCTTCTATATATTCAGATGTTCTCCCCCACTCCCCAGCATCTGATGGTTTAAGAATCATCAGCAGGCTCACGCCTGTAATCCTAGCAACTCAGGAGGCTGAGATCGGAGGATCACAGTTTGAAGCCAGCCCTCCCTCACGCCCCACTCTTGGAAAGTCCCTGAGACTTTCCTTTGGCTGTGGCTCACATTGTAGAGTAAAAGAGCTCGGGGACAGCATTTAGGCCCTGTGTTCAAGCCCCAGGACTGGCACACACACACACACACACACACACACTGCCAGCAGTGCCTTCATACCACCAAACCATCTTCCCCAATCTTGGATCACTTCCATCTCAGGAAGGCTCACCAACCCCATGGCGACACCCCACCCCACCCCATCCCCGCGTTTCCTGTCCTCACCGGGTCGGGCTTGTCCACCGTCCCAGATTCCGACGGCTGTTTCGGCTTCACCGACCCAGTGGACGGAGCCCGGGAGGCCGCTGCACGCCGCATCTCCTCGGGCTGCACGGGGCTGATGGTGATGAAGTCTCGGGGGCGCGGGCCCAGCAGCTGCGCGCGGGCAGAGGCGGGGCCGGGCCCCGGGGCGACAGCCAACTTGAGGCTCAGGGTGCGCAGGAAGCGGCGCAGGCGATCCGGGGGACAGTCGGAGAGCAGCAGCTGCACGGTGCCCGCCCGCGGGGCGCCCTCGACGGGGATCCGGAGCGTGCTGCGCCCGGCGGCGGCGAAGCGCGTGAAGAGGCGCGCGGAGCGCAGGGGGAAGCAGCGCGGCCGGCCCGCGGGTCCCGGCGCCCGCAGCCGCAGCATCAGCTCCCGGCGCTCGTTCCGACCCAGGCTCAGCTCCGCCGTGCGCAGGGCCTGGCGCTTCCGCGGCTGCCCGCCCGGGCTCAGCTCCTCCACCGCCACACGGCACTGCAGCTCCGCGTCCTCACAGTCAGCCGTCGTCCCGGTGCCAGACACCATCGCCGCCGCCTGGGCAGAGAAACTGGGGGCCTGGGGGTGTAAATCAAGGATGGTGTGACGGTCGCCACCCAGGCTGTCACTGTTTAACACCAAGAGGCCACGGTGACAGGAGGAAAAAAAAAAAGAAATGCTCCTGGAATAACAGAAAACTCAGGAGGCTGAGATCTGACCATCGAGTTTGCAGTTCCCTAGTCGGTGGGACTCTTAACTTCCAATTAACCATCAAAAAAGCCGGAAGTGGAGCTGTGGCTCAAGTGATAGAGTGCCAGCCTTGGGGAGGAGGGGGAGGGAGGGGGAGGACGCTAAGGATCAGAGCCTAGGCCAGGAGTTCAAGCCCTGCAGACCTGCACTAACGAAAACGAAAACACAATAGGCGGAGCGGTGGGTGGGCGTGGCCAAACGCTGTCAGGACTGGGGTTACCCAGCAGGGATAAAAGGGGGTGGGGTGGGGTGGGGGTGGGGCTTGCGTGTTTGTAGACTTGCGGGGCCAGCGTGGGAATCGTCGGGGTCCACTCACCCGGAAGCAAGGGGGAGTCCCCAAGGTGTCACGTGTGTTCTGTCCTCCAGGTACGTTCACAGGTTTGTATACAGCCGGTCAGGTCTCGCTGTCACAGCAATGGAAACAGGCTGGGCTAGGCAAACTCTTTTTGGCCTTCCTAAGCCACAGGGCCAGTGGAGTGTCATGGTCAGTATGATTCCCATGCCCCGGTGTTTCCCACCTCCGAAGTGGGGAGGGAAGGGCGGGGAGAAGAGAAGGGAATCCATTGGGAAATCCCGGGCCCTGGAATCCGTTGTGTTACCTTGGACCCACCCCACTCCCTCCATAATGGAGGGAACCCCCAGAAGAATCAGGTTGTCTGCCTGATCGGACATGAACTCACCAGGGATGGCGTTCCGAGGTGTAAGCTTACTCGAGCCGGCAGCACGCCGAAGCTGCAAACCCAGGAACTTTCAAATTCTGGGCTAAGCAAATGAGCCTATCACCGGCCGGGTCTTTAAATCATCCAGCCAATCAGAAGAGGGGGGCGTGGCCAAGGGCGTGTCCAGTGTTTGTTTCCGACTCTCGCAGCCGGGATTGTTCTGGGTGCACCACCCGGGAAGGGGGTCTTTACCACGGTGATCCAGCGTGCGGTTTCCGATAGACCGGTGAGCGTGCTGGGAGGAAACGGGCTGCGGCTGGGCAGCGCCAGGTATAAAGTCACCCAAAGCAGACTGAAGGTTGGAGAACCATTCCAACACGCTCTTTCTTGAACCCGCTGAGTCTGTCCTAGGGGAAGAGCTGTCTCTGATCTCTTTTGCTGTTTCTCCTCCCTGTGTCATTGTTGACCAATACGCAGGCCACCATAAGGACCTGCCCAGTCTGCTCCTCTGTCAGTCCACGGACTGGACTCTTCCCACCATTCACTGCCCTTCGAAGGATCATTTTATGCTTTTTGTCTTTCCCATCTGCTAAGCTTCTTATTACTCATTGCAACTGATCGCTCAGATAATTTTATTTATTTGCTTATTCTTTATTTTTAAAATATTTTGTTATTATAATAGGTGATACACCGAGAGGTTACAGTTAACTAAGACAGGTAATGAGTACATTTCTTTTTGGACAATGTCACCCCTTCTCTTGCTTTTTCCCCTCTTACTTATTCTGGTGGTAGGATCCTGCTATATAGCCCAGGCTGTCCTTGGATTCTTGGGCTTTAAAGATCATCCTCCTTCAGCCTACCGAGATGCAGGCGTGAGCACCCATTCCAGAGAATTTTCTTCTCCATCACTATAGTTTGGAATTATGTAGCTGGACAAGATCTACAGGTAAGTCCAGCCACCATAGATTATTTTAATGTGTGTGAGGGTAAACTCAGGCTTAGCTGTTTCTGCTCAAGGCTGGCTGTTAGACCACTTAAGCCACACCTCCACTTCCCCCTTTTTGCTATTTAATTGGAGATAAGAGTCTCTCAGATTTCTCTACTCTGCATATTTCAAACCAAGATTCTCAGATCTCAATCTCTGGAAGAGCTAGAATTACAGGTATGAGCTACTGGCTCCTGCTGCACTTATTTTTCAAATGAGGCAAAGCCAAGGCTCAAAGAAATTTTACAGGGTGCTGGGAAGGTGGCTCAGTGGTAGAGTGCTTGCCTTGCATGCCTGAGGCTCTGGGTTCGATTCCCCAGCACCACAAAAAAAAAAAAAAAGCCAGAAGTGGAGCTGTGGCTCAAGTGGTAGAGCCCTAGCCTTGAACTGAAGAGCTGAGAGACAGCGCCCAGGCCTGGAGTTCAGGCCCCATGACCAGACCCAAAAAAAAAAAAAGAAATTTTACAGGGGGCTGGGAAGTTGGCTCAGTGGTAGAGTGCTTGCCTCACATGCATGAGGCCCTGGTTTCGATTCCTCAGCACCACATAAGCAGGAAAAAAGCTGGAAGTGACACTGTGGCTCAAGTGGTAGGGCGTTAGCCTAGAGCTGAGGGACAGCACCCAGGCCCAGAGTTTAGGCCCCACGACCAACAAAAAAAAAAAAGTAAGAAAGAAAGAAATTTTAAATAGGTTCACATAGCTTATAAATAGTAAGCTCAGCTGGGTACTGGTGGCTCATGCCTGTAATCCTAGCTATCCAGAAGGATGAGATCTGAGGATCCTAGTTCAATGCCAGCCCAGGCAACGGAAGTCCATGAGACTCTTTGTTTTGTTTTTTTTTGCCGGTCATGGGCCCGGAACTCTGGGTCTTGGCGCTGTCCCTCAGCTCTTCAGCTCAAGGCTAGCACTCTACCACTGGAGCCACAGCACCACTTTTGGCTTTTTCTGTTTATGTGGTGCTGAGGAATCGAACCCAGGGCCTCATGCTTGTAAGGCATGCACTCTACCGCTGAGCTACTTTCCCAGCCCGTCCATGAGACTCTTATCTCCAATTAACCAGTAGAAAACCAAAATGGCACTGTAGCTAATGTTGTAGAGCGATAGCCTTGAGCTGAAGGGCTCAGGGACAGCACCCAGGCCCAGAGTTCAAGCCCTATGACCTACCAAAAAAAATAAACAAAAAAAACCCTTGGGGCTGGGAAGGTTGCTCAGTAGTAGAATGCTTGCCTTGTATGCATGAGGTCCTCAGTACCACATATGCAGAAAAAGTCAGAAGTGGCACTGTGGCTCAAGTGATAGAGCACTAGCCTTGAGCTGAAGAGCTGAGGGACAGCACCTGGGCCCAGAGTTCAGGCCCCACAACCGACAAAAACAAACAAAAAACCAAAAAACCTTAGGAGGTGTCTCACAACTATAATCCTAGTTACTCAGAAGGATGAGATCTGAGGATGACAGTTTATTTATTTTTGGGGGGAGGGGGTCCTGTTGTGGGCTTTTTTTTCTGCTTATGTGGTGCTGAGGAATCGAACCCAGGGCCTCATGCATGCAAGGCAAGCGCTCTACCACTGAGCCACCTTCCCAGCCCCAGAGGATGACAGTTTAAAGACAGCCCACGCTGGAAAGTCCTGAGGCTGTTTTCTCCAATATATCACACAAAAAGCTAGAAATGAAGGTGTGGTTCAGATGGTAGCATGCCAGCCAACCTTGGGCAAAAAAGTTAAGGGACAGAACCCCGTCCTTGAGTTGAGGTCTCAATACTAGCACAAAATAAAATAAATAAGTATAAAATTCAATTTCAGTGCTCAATGCAGGTATATGTGCTAGTACCTATTACTTTGGACAGCAAAAGACACTCTTCAATGGCAGAAAGTTATGAAAAATGACCAACAATCTAGAAAGCCTCATCCCTGTCCTAGTGTCAACCCTCACCCTAAATCCTCAGCAAACCTCTGTTCTGATGTTTTGGGTTTTGTTGGGGGATTTTGTTGGGGAGGGGGGCCTTGAACTCAAGGCCTGGGTACTGTCCCTGATTGTTTTTGCTCAAGGCTAGTGCTCTACCGCTTGGAGCCATAGCTCCACTTCTGGCTTTTAGGTGGTTAACTGGAAATAAGACTCATGACCTCTCCTGTCCTAGCTGGCTTGAACTGTGATCCTCAGATCTCAGCCTCCTGAGTAGCTAGGATTACAGGTGTGAGCCACTGGTGCCTGGCTTCTAATTGGAATTATACATAATGATTTTGAGATTTTAAGATTTTTGTTTCGTTTGGTCAGTCGTTGGGCCTGAACTCAGGGCCTAGGCACTGTCCCTTAGCTCTCAGCACAAGGCTAGCACTCTACCACCTGAGCCACTGCACCATTTCCCACTTTTTCTGCTTATGGGGTACTGAGGAATCGAACCCAGGGCCTCATGCATACAAGGCAAGCACTCTGCCACTGAGCCATCTTCCCAGCCTGAGATTTTGAGATTTATATGTGTTTCTGGTTGTCACAACAGTTGGTTCCTTTCTATTGAACAGTGGTTTTTGCCTGCTGATGAGTAGATTTGTTGAGCATTAAGGTATACATTTCTCTCTTTTTCTGGTAAATTGTAATTTTTTATTGGAAGACAAAATATACAACTTGGAATGAATTGAGTCAAATTGTGCCATAAGAAGATTTTCTTTAAGTGGCTAAAACAAACTTTAAAAAGCAAGTTACAATAAAAGAAAATGTTTTTGGTACAAGACCAGAAATACAAAAAAATAGTGTACAAGTACCTGGATAATACACCCAATTTGCAATGATGCAACTTTTTTTTTTTTTGCCAGTCTTGGTGCCTGAACTCTGGACTGGGCTCTGTCCCTCAGCTCTTCAGCTCAAGGCTAGTGCTCTACCACTTGAGCCACAGCACCACTTCCAGCTTTTTCTGCTTATGTGGTGGTGAGGAATTGAACCCAGGGCCTCACGCATGCAAGGCAAGCGCTCTACCACTGAGCCACCTTCCCAGCCCCAAATAGTGCAACTTTTAAGTACATATTGTTGACTGTCCATAGTCCATGCAGAGTTATAACTCCACACTTCAACAACAACATGCCGACAGTTCCTAAAAGAAAACTACTTAAAAAAAGCATAACCCAGATGTTCCCTCATTTAACCAACTCCATCGAAGTTTAGATG